GCCAACATTTGTTGTTGTTTGTCTTTTGGATGGTAGCCATCCTTACTGGTGTGAGGTGATACCTCATTGTAGTTTTAATTTGCAGAGAAATTGGTAATTTTGATTGAATTATTTTTTAATAGTTTATTTTTCTACTATTTCCTACTTCTTTCTAAAAGTGACATACCCAAAAAACGATGTTGATTAGATGAGGTTTGCAGTTGGATTCAAGTCTCTTCTCAAAAGAGTTCACAAATGGATTTTAATTCATCCAACTTCCATTCCCTACCCACAGTGAATGATGCATGTATGGGGGTCTAATTCCAAATGAAAAGATTCCCTAAAGTACCATGTGTCCGTTGAAAACGTCTGCTTCCTCCGCACCTCTAGACTTTCCTGAACACATGGCACTATATGCTAATAAAAGCACTTATAATAAATATTCTCATTTACTAAGAACTATAAATGGGTAAGAGAACTTATACGCTTAGGAAGTACAGATTTTAAGCGCCTATCTAGAACCACTAGTCAAAGCAACCAAGTTGTAATACCACACAGAACCCAAACAGCCTATTCCTTTCCCACTGCACCACTGGCAGTCATCTGACTTCCCCAGTAAACAAGCTGGAACAAAACTGCAGAAAATATTTCCATGCTTACCTTTTTAGAATCATTTGCCCCTCCAATAAGCCTGTAACCTGCTGCAGCCTGGCTAAGACACCCCCTCCATTCACCTAGTATAATGGAGACAGCTGCTTTAATAAATACAGAGGCATGGCACCTGTTTTCTCTGTCCTTTCTGCTTCTGCAGTACTTTCTATCCTCCTGAAAATCAGGTTGTCCTTTTCGAGTGTATTTTTCTAGCTATAGCAGGACCTAGCTTGCAAATAGATGATGATACAGGACAATATACTTCAGTTAATAGGAAAAAGGCAAATATTTATGTCCCAGGTTGAGTTCCCTGGGAAGTAGACTCTGAGATGAAGTTTTGCAACCAAGATGTTTATTTAGGAGCAGCCTTGGGATCAGTATTTGTGAAAAGGAGGGACTGAAAGCAGAAATGGGCAAAATGTTGAATTGCAGGGAGCCCCCAGAAAGAGCTTCGGCTGATGCCATGGGGAGCTCTGAAGCTAGAATGGGCCTTCAGAGTTATCTTGAGCTGGACTAAGATAATCAGAGTTTTTTATTCCATAATTCATTGGATATGGGCCTTAGGACAGATGGCTGTCTATAACTCAGGTGATCTCTGAAGGGACTGTCAACTGAAGGACATCTGCTCACAGCACTCCCAGCAAGTCCTTCACCGACGGGGGACCTGAGCTGTGCATTACAGCAGCCACTACAATCTGACAGTACTTAAGTATGATACAAGAGAACCCTTTTCAAGTTCATTAAGTCATGATACTATGGGATCAACTCTGGCAGTGGTATCTGCATGATGGAATTGAATGTGCTAAAGCTCCTCAAGTTCCTATCTTGTGGACTATTCCATGAAGTCTATTGAGCTGGAAACAACTAGCAGGCATCTGAAAGCATATTTTAATGCATCCTCTAGGGATCCTGGGGCATCCTTGGGGAAGACTGCAGGAGTACTTGGAATTAAACCGGACATATCAGACAGTTCTCCATAATTAATTAATGGGCCACAGGACAGGCATCACCATGCAAAACAGTGGTTATAAAAACAGCAGACTCAGCTCAGAAATCTGAAATGTTACTAATCTTGGTAAAATATACAATTTAGTTAAAAATAATTCTCATAAAACAAATAAAGTTAATGCTATTTTGGTAGTTTGTTTCACTTCATAAACTTTCAAGAGCCAGAGTGATACTGTACAGCTGCTGCCCTGCGTTTATAAAGAACAGGATTTCCACTGCTATGAACTATGTTCACATCCCAATTACAAACAGACAAAGCACACGGTCACAAAAAGTATTAATCACATTATTTATGTGTACTCCTACTTAACCTTATAGCTTGAAACATTTAATAAAGCCATTCTAGCCATTTTAAATCAGACGCGGGTTATGTTCCCTTTGATGTTTAAGAAGGGGTAATCTCAGGCCAGCATGGCAAGGGGAGAATATTTCTGGGCTGAGAATTTGTAGAAGTTACTGATATGCCCCCCACCAAGTGAACTTGAGCAATTCAGTCTCATTTTCTTCGTCTATAGAAGGCAGAGGATTTCTATTTTAGATTGTCTCCAAGAGTCCTTGCAATCCTAAAGTCTCTAATCCTCTTTACCTTACAGATTAGTTAGTAGGTGAGAAGAAGCAGATTAAGGTTCCTTAGGAGTAATTGCAAGATTTTCCCTGAAAGAGACAAACCATGAAAGCCCCATGTCTGAAATATTCAGGACATGGGCTGATGTCATCCCTCTAATCATCTATCAAGAATAAAGCATTTATTTTCTTTCATTACTGAAACTGGTTAATTTAGAGACAGTTAATTGAGAGTCATGTGAATTGAATATCATAATTTTGTGTGCTAACCAACCCTAGATTTTTATTAGACATGAAAAAGGTGTTTGGTAAATAAGCCATCTTTTCCTTTTCCTATTAAAATGGTGTCATTTCAGAATGTTAATATTACTATAACATCTCTCTCTTGCAAATGGTGTCCCAAGCAGAAGTACCTGTCAATATTATTCACGTACTTCATGTTTAAAAATATCTTAAAAATGCTTTTTTTTAGAAAACAACTCATCTGTTTCATATAAAAAACATAACCAAGAAAATTAAGGTTAATTATCAAATGGTAAATTACAGGATTTGGATCCTGTAACCACCTGTAGACTTACAACTGGCTCATGTGCTCATAGGTCCCTTTGGGGGCTTTTAAAGAAAGGAAACATTATTAAACACAATTTGGGAAACCACGCTCACATGGAAGAATTCAGGCTCTGCTTCCATAAAATTCCCACTAATTTGTCAGTTCTTGTGAAGGGGAAGTCCCACGCTGTGTTTCATCAGACCTGAGTTGTGTGTCTACCCTTGTATCAGCATGCAGGCAGAGCACAGGGACTGACAGGACCATGTGAAGGCCTGGGGTGGTGGAAGGGCTGGTCCCCACGAGGAGAGCGCGTCACTGAGTAGGCAACACGACTGGCATCATCTACGTGGTGACCGGTCTATACTTCTTGAAGCTCCCCTCTTCCATGGCTTCTGCAAGGCTTTTCTCCCTAGTCTTCTCTGTACTGTCCGGCAACTTTTCCTCAATATCCTTCCAGGGTTCTCTCCTTCCACAACCCCTTCACAAGTAGTTGCTGCAATGAGTTTCATCCTCAGCCCGCTCCTCAATCTACACACTTCTCTTGGTAAACTCATTAAACTGATGGTTGCAACCGCCACTTTTGTTCTGAAGCCTTATCATTATTAGCCTAGACTTTTCTACAGACTCCAAACCTGTATTTTCAGCCGTCTGCTATGTGTTCCATAAACACTTCAGATTCAGCATAATTGAAAACTAAATGTATCAAATTCCCCCAAAATCTGGTTATTCCTCTCTTAGTCAATAGGAACATCATTTCCATCATAGGCTAAACACAGTCCTCTCCCTGCCTTCTGGTCTACATTCAAGAAACACAGATAGAAAATAGATCAAAACACGGGGCGCCCTCATGAGACTGCTGACCTGACGGTATGTGACAAAGAACCAGAGGGTCCCATGGATGTGCTGGTGGTAGGGACCAATCTGGGCAGAGTTTGGAGGCCGGAATCACTATAAAGAGAAGGAGGAGAGAAGTACAGGAAGAAGGATGGACCGCTCAAAGACAAATGTTAACAACAAACGGAGATATGGGGCAAGATACAAAAGATACTGAGGTAAAATCAGCAGGAAATAGCAGGAAAATAACTGGAGAAGAGAAGTAGGAAAAAGCACTAACTTGAGATGACTCCAAGATTTCTGATTGGAATGGTAAGGTTGATTTGGGTGTTTTTCAGCTGTCTACAAGACTACCACCCTTCTCTACCAGTAATGAGAGATAATACCATCATCTCTCACTGAGACCACTGAAATATCTCCTCATTGGTTTCCCTGAATCTGCCCTCCCCACCTCTAATTCAGTCTCCCAACAGCATCCGGAGGGATATTTTTAAAGCATAATTTTTATTCTCTCAGTACAGTGATTGAGTCCTACCTAATGGCTTTGGCTTTTCATTGGTCACAGGAAATGAGGAAAATAGTACATCTTAGAAAGCTGTACTTGGTCTTGTCCTTGCTCGCTTAGGCTACACCTGCAATTTTTACCGCTCTCCCAGACATGCCAGTGTTCTTTTCTTTCCAGGCCCTCTCGTGTGCCAGGCTACCCATTCCACCTCAGCGACTTTAAGATGTCATTTCTGCCAGGATGTCATCCTCTGCCTGGTTAACTCCTACTCATTCTTTTTATGTCAGCTTAAGTAGCCATCTGTCAGGGAAGCCTTTCTTGCAGTCCTTTTTCTTCCCCTCTTCTAATCAAAGAAAGCAGGTCTCTTGGTAAGTGCTCCCCCAGCATACTGCACTTGCCCCTCTTAGTATTTATTGCAGCTTGGAATTAATGCTCCATTTGCACAATAATGTAACTAATGAGGCTCTAAATAATAAGCTCTGTAAATACAGGAACCACTACTGTTTTGTTTAACGTTTTATCCTTAGGGCATAGGCTGCAGTTTGGTTCTCGGTGATGCTTGAAAAAATCCTTATTGGTTGAATGCATGAATCAATTGCCAAAGGGGAATCATAACTGTGTACTGGCTTTAAGAGGCCTGAAGGAGATTCAAGAGAAATGCTTAGCACACAAATGATAGGCAGGTCTCAGTGGTTGAAAAGCACTCACCTTAAAAATCAAACCGTCAGGGTTTATGCCCAGCTTAATCATTTTTAATTTGCACAACCCTATAGACAAACTGTGTGATATGGCTAGACTTTAGCTTCCTCCCTATAAAATGGGTATGACAGTAGCATCTAACTCACTGTGGTGATTGTAAGACTTGAGTGAAATCATGCTACATATACTTGTTAACCAGTACCTTGCACACAGTAAGGCCACTTGAACTTTCTGTTGTTGTTATCATTTTGGAGGTTTGGACCACAGGAAATGTCAGGATGAGTTAGTTTTCAAATCATTCAGGATAACTGAAGTGATGAGAGTGGTTGAGATTGCCTAGAGAGAGAATATAGAGTGAAAAAAAGGCCAAAGAAGAGAACTTGAGTGAACACCAAAAGATTCAGAGGGAATGAAAAACAAAATCTATACCAGGTTGACCAGAGAACTAGAAAAAGGGCAGGAAAGTTTGGCATAAAATAAGACATGATGTCTGACTCTTTCCTATTTGTTGATTATACTTTAAAATAAACATGTTCTTTAGATGCTAGACCTTAAAATGTCTGGGAGGCCATATCACCATGAAAAGTCAAAGTACTTACTGAGTTCTCTAAAATTATCTAGTTTGGCTTACCAACATTCTTATCAATTGAAAAGCAGGAATTCAATGTTCTTTCCTTATTATTACATCAGAGAATTGCTTCCTTGGCCTAGTTGATATAAAAAGACTAAATGAAAGACTATGATGAAGTAATACACTGATAGAAGAGGGAAATGGCTTCTTTTTCCACAAGCAATGCACAGCCCTACATCAACACCAGGGCTCTCTGTGTATCAAAGAATTCGCTGCAGAAAACCAAATGACTGAATATGGGCCATTTTCTTATGACTGAAATAACAGTAAAATGAAGTAGCCTGCTGCCGTGTCTCTTATTGAATTCCGTGCATTATATCTTCATTCCTAACTATGACCTCTGACATTTCTAGAGTCAGTGGAAAATCAGAAATTGTACATTTTGCTTATGGTACTACTTTTTCTTCAGGAAAATAAATGTCTGTTTAAAGAGATTTCCTGAGAAAATCATCTCCAAGAGTGGCTGCTCTACCAAGTCACCATGCCCTCTGCAACCACTGCACACTGGGGATGATCTGGCCATCAAGAACAAAAAGAAAAACAGGATTTTTCACATTGTTTGCTTCCCTATGGTAAACAAAATCATCAAGTCTCAAAATCAGAACACATTTTTAAATTAAATTTTAAAAAGGCAGTTGGGTTATGTTATGGCATTTTTCTATAAATAAATAACAGCTCTTATAATTTTACAAAGGGTGGATATGACAATAGCAAAACCAAAGGGGTTCTGACGTCTCACCAGACAGAAAGTGCTGAATCAGAGATCCGAGGCATGCCCAGCCAGCTATCTCCCATGTAGGAATAATTCAAAGAACTGTGGCTATATATTGTTCTGATTCAATTTTGTTCAAAACTTAGAGTTGCTAGACAATACTTCTACAGACTGTTCTCTTGACCAGCTATTTCTGGAAAATTCCAGAAGGATCTTTGTGTATGCAAATTTCAGAAGGAATGTAAGCAATGAGACAGGTTAGCATCCATTTATGAGAACTTCCAGTTTTATTTTATAGGGACCACGTCAATAAATAAGAGTCTGCTTGGAATAGGACATAAAGATCACGCTGTCATAATTTTCTGTATGAATTTAGAGAATTTATCATTGATATGAAAACCTACACCATGCCATCTGTCTAATAATATTATGCCCAGTGGAAAAGAATTTCCTTTTTAAGCTGGCCTGTACTCTATGGAGTTATTCCTAGAGTCACAGCTGTTATAGACTATATTTCAGAGTCACAGTGACCAGAAATATTGGCTTGGCTTTGCAAGTTGCAACTATTATCTCTCTGGATTCACATTACCTCAGTCACAGTTAACTTTATTACCTGAATCAGTTTTATCCATTACAGTCGCATATATAACCCAGAGAAATTATGAGTGTCAAATACCATACATCCAGAATCCAGCAAGTATGTCTATTATATTGTGACCATTGGCTTTAAAATAATAATAGTACCCTCTGAATGATATATTACAGATCTGGAATTTATCTCCAGGGTTATAACAGCCCATTTGGACATATCCAGTGCAGACGGCTTTCAATTCAGGAAACACATTCCAGAAAACAATGACTGAGTTCAAAGAAGACAGAGAGTGGAGAAAAAACTGATTTTAGAATTTGCCTATTTTTGACACAATCAACACATGTGAGAGCCTGACATAGAGAAGGGGCTGAAGGCAGGGCTAAGAGAATGGTCTCTGCCTTCCAGAAGCTTAGAGTCTAGGTTACTTTAATCTACGGAGCTACACGCTCCACATAATTCTACATTTTACATACCTCTTATTTCACTAGCAGGCAAACTTTTGTCCTAAGGCAGCTTCCTGGAACTGTAGTCTGAGGACCAATTTATTCCTTCTTGGTAAATTTCTGTTCTCTTCCTTTGAATTCTCAGCAATACTAACCTGATTAGCAGGGAAGCCAGGACCAAATATTAATGAGATAATTATGATGTGTTCTTACACCAGGCAACCAGGGACTTCTGGCAAGAACTGTAGGATGGAAAGCAGGAGGACAAGAGTGAAATGCTGGTTTCCAGAAATGACTTATGCTTTCTGAAATCTTTGTTGAAGAAGCAAAATCTAATAATAAGTGTCACAAAAACAATACCATACAGCACTGAGGGGAAGAACAATGAGTACAAGGCCCTAGGAAGAAAAATCCGTGCTGAAAGTCGGCTGTGGCATGGAGACCGAGCTTATGGCTCTCCTCTATGCACTCTGGTAAATATCACCTCTAACTAAAGTGGGTTTTTAAAATATTTTTTTCTTACTAAGCAGGTAGCAAGGTCACAAAATTTAAATCATGCTACCACTCAGATATATACAGAACATTTAATTTTTCAATTTTTCTTTAAATAATGTCTCTCTCAACAAATACCATATTTCACTTGCATATGGAATCTAAAAACAAAACGAAATGAACAAAACAGCAGCAGACTAATAGACACTGAGAAGTGACTGTTGGCTACCAGGAGGGAGGGGTTGAGGGAGGTGGGTGGGAAGGATGAGGGGGATAAAGAGGCACAAAATCTCAATCATAATACAAACTGGTCATGGGGATGGAAGTACACAATGGAGAACATAGTCAATGGTTCTGTAACATCTTCCTGTGTTGACAGATAGCAACTACACTAGTCAGGGTGAGGATTTAATAATGTGGGTAACTATTGAATCATTGTTCATGCTTTAAACCAATATAATATTGTACATCAACTATACTGTAAAATAATGTCTTTCCCTTGAAAGACAGACATTGGTTAAAGGAAAAAAAGACAAAATGTCTGATTTAATATAATGTTTAATTCAATCCAATAATTTAAATATCTTTCCCCAAAATGATGAGTGGATGTTGGTGCAGGAAGTGTCTGGCTTATACTTCCTTATGTGAGTCCTCAGAGATGTTTTGGCTCCAGCTGGTAGCCACAGTGATGTCCCTTGTTCTCCTGATCAGTAGGCAGTGCTAAAGTCACACCCGGCTATTCATGATCTTCCTTTTGCCTAAGGAAATTGCTCCCAATGGTCACCCACAGTTTCCCCTCTTTCTGACTCAGCTCTAAGCTTTATAGATCTCTTCCCTATTGCTCCTCATCCTGAAACCCAGCAGGTCACCCCCAGCTTTGGTTATGGGATAACCTCCTCCCACTGTCATAGGCCTATGGTGTTGTGCTTTCTTGAAATCCATCCTCCTTTGATAAAGACATTACTAACAGCTTACCATATAGTTAGTCAAAAAAATTAAAAATACAGAATACAGCAGATAGTTCCCTGTACACTAGAAATCAACATAACAGAAGTCCCTTCTCATGATTGTAAAAACAAAACAAAACCTAAAAACTTAGTTTTGGTGGTGGATAGGACCTCTGGTCCCCATCAAATGAACTAAAATAACCCAGCAGAGAATTAAAACTGAAGTACAGGGTAAAGAGGGGATGAGAATTTTAAATAACTGCTTCTCTGACACACAAAAAACACTATGGAGTTGGAAAAGACAGATGTGGGCTAGGCAGTGTCTCTGACTATAACTATCACCATACATTCCTCTTCTAGCTTGCCTGGGGCCCTCAGTGCTAGATTGAAGGTGGGTTATGAAAAGTCACAGTACAGGAATGCACAGAATATGCTTGTGCTGTCTCCCTGTTGGACCCACACACCAGCAGGCTGGTCACACCTGCAGTCTGCTTCCATTTCAAGAAGAAAACTAAGTTCCTGAGAGAGGCTTGGCTCTACCATTGGAATCCTGGTAGTCCCAAGCCCACTGGGAATCACCTGGTATCTAACAGCACCACATACCACTGGGGCTCCCCTGCCTGATGCACTGCATGACTTTGGCAAGCACTGAGTTAGTCTAGTTGAAGGCAATGGACATTCTTCAGCTGCATAAGCTTACATCCAGAAGTATGGTCTTTGAGGAGATAATTAGTAATTCCTGGTCTTCTTCTAGAATGTCTATAGATGTTAGGAAGCATCTGTTTTCAACACAAGAAGCCCATCCCTACCCTATGATGGTACATAGCTCTCAACTCAGTGTCTGTGACATGCAACAATTAAAGAAGGCTTAGGAGGTTTTCTTGATCCAGTGGCACTCTACTCTTTTCATTCCATTAAAATGGTCTACACCATGCATTCAATGGTCTGCTCCCAAAGCCCCAAACTTGGGAAATTAACCCAAGATGAGGAGGGTAAGAGATCATGTGACCTTAGTTTTGAAAGATAAAGATGAGTTAGTAAAACCGGATGTCAATGGAGAAAACTGTTCCGGATAAGGTAGAGTTACATGAAAGGTCAAGAAAGCAAACCAACATTATGACATTTTCAGGGGAGCTGCAGATGATTCTGTAGGAATATATAACAGAAGCTTATTTGACAAAGTCAAAATAGATCTAGAGGTATAAACAGTCTCAGTCATTTAGGACATTGTCTGCCATGCTTCACGTTTAAGACCTGAGGAATGTGTTGAAGGTTTATAAGCAGAAGAAAATTTGACATTTTAGAAAGATCACTATAGAACCATAAGAAAACTTAATTGGAGGCAATTTAGGAGACCTACAATAATCCAGTTTAGAAATAATAAAGTCACAAACTAATATAACAGCAAAGAGATAGAATAAAGAGACAAATTTTACATCAAAATGAAGGTCTTCGTACCTAACGGATTGTATGTGATTAGAAAAGGGGAGAAAAAAGATGAGACATTTCTGGCTTGAGGGAAGAAATACAGAAAGATGAGCAGGTTTTAGAGAAGATGATGATAATTCCCAACCCACTTTTTATTAATTTTTTGATACGACCAGCACCTGATTAAAACTAGCTTCAATGAAACAGAGCTTAGATAGGGAAGAGAGGACAAGGGAAAGCAGATTGAAAGGGGTCCCAAAAAGGGCAGTGTATTTCATGGGTTCTTTGAATCCTTAGTTCATACTGTCATGTATTATGCAGACCCCAAATCCTACTGATCTCTCAATCAGAAGCCTGAAATACATTTTAGTCCTCTATATTTCAGTTGAGACTGTTATTCAATCCATTGATATTAGAGGGGAAAAAGTCTTCTTTTGTATCCAAGTAACCACACAACAGCAATGCATCTGGAACATATCACTCAATTTCCACCCCAAGCCTCCATAAATTTGTCTTCACAGAATTACCACTCAAAGAGTTTGACTTTCACTAAGGGCCACTGTAAAACACCACTGGGTGTGAAATCCATGTAAATTTTTCATTTAAAAAATGCTATTTAGTGCATTATTTTGTATTCTAAAATATTTACAGACTTGGTGTCCAGCCTATGAGTCGACATTCATAGTTTTGTTCAATGCTGTCTATGTAACGACCTCCTGATACTTTCATCTGAGATCAAAGGAACAGTAAAAAGTTGTTTCTTTTAATAAACTAATATATGCTCAATCCTACTGTCAGGCAATAAGAAATACATCATCATCTGGTTTCCCTCTTGCTTGGGCTATAGAGAATCTGAATATAAAGTTTAGATTTAATAATACTATTCTTAGCCTGAGATATTTTTTTTAATTTTGCTTCTTTTCTTCAGTTCCTTTTCCCTAATTTCATAACTTAAGGTGTGAGTTTTATTGTTACTGGACTCATCCATCCATACCATGTTCTCATTATGAGCCAGTTAATACCTCTTCAATAACTCTCAATTCCTGTTCTATTGGGGATCCTAGAATCCTGCCTGCTACAGAGGTCCTCCTAGAATCTCAAGTTACATAAATATTTTGGAAGGATCCTCTTTTTTCCTCCTCAAAAGCAACATCAAATCTCCAGCTGCTGGGAAATGGTGCTTTTGCCTATTATTGGAATCAATGAGTCAAGGCATATGTCTTTAATGGAGATTTTGGCAAGCATAATATTAGTTATTATTAGATGGACAGAAGTAAACTGAATGGTTTGTTTTCTGTGATGCAAATACAAATTGGTGGTTTAAACCAAACACTGTAGTTTATAATGTGCTAGAAATATTTACATGGAAAAAAGCACTAATTGATGTATACAGCATTAGGAAAACATAAGTTTTGCAAATTCCAAGAGCCAACATATTTCACAGATCAAGAAATATAAGAACAAAGAAAACCCAAAGACTGTACATAAACCTATGTTAGAAAATGTGCTCCACCCTCAAAGAGTCTGGTTCAGTTAGTACTTTCTGACTGAAAGAAAAGGAGACTCACTTTACTTATTCCAGGTAATAAAGTAATGTTGGGGATGACAAGGAGGTGTACCGCATGAATGCAAATGCACAGCAATCCAGAAAAATTCGAACTAGTGTGGGATCCACAGTAGAGGTAGGCTACCAAATCTCCACCGACAGCCTGGACACCAAGTCTGTAAATATAGTCAACACATAATAAATGGTTCGTTGGTATTATGTCACAACAAATGATGAAATAACACCTGTTTTCAGACTTTACGGCTAACCTTTAGTGACGTCACTAACATCTCTGCTTACCTTGTCCTGTCCCATCACCAATGTCTTGATTCTTTCCTTTCACCTTCATAGATTTTCTTCTTTGTTTCCTCTTTAATACTTTCTGCTTTCGACTCTAGCTTAACTGACTTGTGACCTGAACCACACAGCTTAATTCTCTCTATATGTCCTTTGATATGCCTCCCATTTCTCTCTACATTTCCTAATTTGGCCCAAACAAGAAAATGTCTGATTGGCCTATACATCTTTATTCCACCATGCCAAATAACAGGTCATTATTGGTCACACAGTCTCTAAATGTGGATAGACAAGACTATGAAGTCACGTGGTACTCTCAGACCTGCCTTGTGAGCTATAAGCAATAAATTTTCACTAAAGAAGGCCAAAAAGCATGACATCAACTGGTGGATCGAATATGCAGCCCTATAATTCACCCATGTTATGATAAACAGACTTCTACCACTTTGGTCCTTCAAAGAAGAAAAAATTTTGATCTTCTGAGTTGTAGGCAGATTTCCCTAAACACAGATTAAATATGGACTTCCAGCATAAACACGTGTATTCTAATCAAAACAATTAATGAGTCAAGGTATATCTCTTTGATTAGAACAAGCTGTTGCCTTTAAGAAAAAAAAAGTATACTCTGTACTCCAACTATAATGACAAGTAAATTTCAGATTATTGGGTGTTGTTCCTTACCCTTATCAACTTGACATTGAATGTCATAGTCTCCTGCTATAACTGGTCACCTCATGGTCATTATTACTCAACTCTTAATGTATCCATCACAACTAATTCCACCTGCATGCTTTACATCTTGAAGGTATCAAGTAGTTTTGGAGAAAAATATTCTGGTTTCAAAATACTAAAGGGATTAAAAATGTATATACTTAATAAATGTGCATTAATATATACAATTATAACTAGACAAACTTATTAAAATCAGGGACTATCACTCTTATTCATTTCTCTGCCCCAGACACTAGTATGGAGTCTGACACACAGTATGTGCTCAAAATATTTTTTAAAATAAACAGCCAATCAGTCAATAAATCAATGAACATCATGCCTATTGCCCACAACTTCTACACAAGGGAAGGAATGGAGATAAGAGTCTAGTGAGGACCATTTTTTTAATAGTTATTAAAGTGTATCCATAAAATCATTGAGTAAACAATTAAATGAGAACTGAAAATGGTTTACATGTAGATCTAACTAAAAATGAGTTCCTAGATAAAAGCAAAATAAAATACTACACAGACTGTAATAGGGAAAAAGATATTTAATTGTTCTTTGCATAGATAGATGTCAGATAGATAGATGATGATAGATAGATAGATGGATAGATAGATAGATAGATAGATAGATAGATAGATAGATAGATAGATAGATAGATAGATAGAAAAGATAGGTAGGTAGGTAGATAGATAGATCTTTACTTCCGACTCTAGCTTCTAGTAGCCCAAGCTTCATGTTCACTCCTTGTTCTCAGATTAAAAAGTCCCTGGAGATAGGAATCCTTGCCTCTTTCTAGGGAAGGAAGATTCTAAAAATAGTCACAAAACCCCTCATCCCCAGGGCAGAACCTATCCTCCAGCAAAACTTCGATTCCCATTGCAACTTGTGACCTGAACCACACAGCTTAATTCTCTCTATATGTCCTTTGATATGCCTCCCATTTCTCTCTACATTTCCTAATTTGGCCCAAACAAGAAAATGTCTGATTGGCCTATACATCTTTATTCCACCATGCCAAATAACAGGTCATTATTGGTCACACAGTCTCTAAATGTGGATAGACAAGACTATGAAGTCACGTGGTACTCTCAGACCTGCCTTGTGAGCTATAAGCAATAAATTTTCACTAAAGAAGGCCAAAAAGCATGACATCAACTGGTGGATCGAATATGCAGCCCTATAATTCACCCATGTTATGATAAACAGACTTCTACCACTTTGGTCCTTCAAAGAAGAAAAAATTTTGATCTTCTGAGTTGTAGGCAGATTTCCCTAAACACAGATTAAATATGGACTTCCAGCATAAACACGTGTATTCTAATCAAAACAATTAATGAGTCAAGGTATATCTCTTTGATTAGAACAAGCTGTTGCCTTTAAGAAAAAAAAAGTATACTCTGTACTCCAACTATAATGACAAGTAAATTTCAGATTATTGGGTGTTGTTCCTTACCCTTATCAACTTGACATTGAATGTCATAGTCTCCTGCTATAACTGGTCACCTCATGGTCATTATTACTCAACTCTTAATGTATCCATCACAACTAATTCCACCTGCATGCTTTACATCTTGAAGGTATCAAGTAGTTTTGGAGAAAAATATTCTGGTTTCAAAATACTAAAGGGATTAAAAATGTATATACTTAATAAATGTGCATTAATATATACAATTATAACTAGACAAACTTATTAAAATCAGGGACTATCACTCTTATTCATTTCTCTGCCCCAGACACTAGTATGGAGTCTGACACACAGTATGTGCTCAAAATATTTTTTAAAATAAACAGCCAATCAGTCAATAAATCAATGAACATCATGCCTATTGCCCACAACTTCTACACAAGGGAAGGAATGGAGATAAGAGTCTAGTGAGGACCATTTTTTTAATAGTTATTAAAGTGTATCCATAAAATCATTGAGTAAACAATTAAATGAGAACTGAAAATGGTTTACATGTAGATCTAACTAAAAATGAGTTCCTAGATAAAAGCAAAATAAAATACTACACAGACTGTAATAGGGAAAAAGATATTTAATTGTTCTTTGCATAGATAGATGTCAGATAGATAGATGATGATAGATAGATAGATGGATAGATAGATAGATAGATAGATAGATAGATAGATAGATAGATAGATAGATAGATAGATAGAAAAGATAGGTAGGTAGGTAGATAGATAGATCTTTACTTCCGACTCTAGCTTCTAGTAGCCCAAGCTTCATGTTCACTCCTTGTTCTCAGATTAAAAAGTCCCTGGAGATAGGAATCCTTGCCTCTTTCTAGGGAAGGAAGATTCTAAAAATAGTCACAAAACCCCTCATCCCCAGGGCAGAACCTATCCTCCAGCAAAACTTCGATTCCCATTGCCTGTCTTGGAGCTGATTTTGTAGGAAATATGTAGTCCTTGCTTTGGATTAACTCTCTGTTTCCCACTTGGCAACACAGAATAATTAAATTTCTAAGCTCATATTCACTCTTTTAGGCAAAGAACAAAGTGTGACTTATTCTCAACTTTTTGTAAATAATTTGGCAGTACTTGATAAGAACAGAGGCATGGTTTTGCTATTAAAGAGAAATATTTGCATTTGTTTCTCCTCATATAGTTGAGAACCCAAATGATAGACTTAGTGCTCTGAACAATGCTGCCACCTTTCCCCTGGTGCTTGTTGTCATTAATCATGAAATCACAGAAAGGGGCTGATTCACCAAAATGAATCACTCACGTAATGACTAAAGTTCTAGAAGCTTGTGCCCTTGGGTTCAGGGACTGGATTCTTTCTGCTTCTGATGCAACTCTGATGCCCAAATGGTAAGGTTTTCAGGAGCTCCTTAGTCTCTTACTTTAAATTAAAAACGAATCTTTACCATTGCATTCTTGGCAAAGAACAATCCCTTTGTTAAATGCAGAAGTTTTATTCCTCCTTTAGCTGTGAGCCATAATCTCTTATAAGGGGTAAAACACACAGGTATCAGGACATTCGCTCTCCTGTGTGTTAATGGTGGCTTCCTTGGCTTGAAGGACTGAGTGTGTTGTTTTGCCCAGTTTCATGTATCACTGTATTAAACAGTCCTTCCCTGAGCCACCAAGGGTCAATGCAGGAGGACTGGCAGGTGACACATAAGGCCAGAGGTCCCTTAATCATCGCATCTGGCACCTAACATACCCCTCCTCCTTCAACAAGAGGAGCTGGGCTTTACTTCTGCTTTCCAGGTTGAATTTCTGCATGATGTTTCATTTGAAAAGTGATTTGAAGGCTTTAAAAAAGATGAAAACCAGTGTTGTATGGGTATGAGCACTGAATTAAGAGTTAGGGTACCTTTATTTCAGTCCTACTTCTGCCCCTTATCAGCCATTGGTCACTGAGAAATCACTTCAACTTTTTAGAGCCTGATTTCCCTGATGTTGAATTGAGGCATCAGATGGTAGAATTCAAGTCAGGCCCTATGGGTGGGAACTCCATTCTCCTAACTCCACTTCAAACAGTGTAACTCTGTTTTACATATTTACATGTATGAATATAAAAGAATTTCCATATAAAATTCAGTTTGAGAAAAGTTTAAAATTTTGCAAAGCATTCAATTCTGTATTGAAATACTCTTCCATTATGACATTCTATTGCTCCATATTCCTACTTCCTACTTTCCATGGTCTAAAAACAAAACTTTCCAATGACATTTTTATTCCTCATATTATTTGTTGATATTAATGGCTTGCATAATGGAATGCTATCTAACACACACATATATAACAAAATTGTTTTTCTAGGTACTCAGAATATACCTTTAAATCCGCAAATATATGTAAATTAATATTCAAATTCATATTCATATACATAAATATATTTGTGCATTTTTGTCTAGTCAATATGAGCATTTTCTACATTGTGTTCCATGGAACACTCTTCTGGGACATTATTAAACATGGTATGAAAAAAGTGCCACTTTGAAATGAGCTTGGGAAGCTATGCACATGAGGCTCTGAAAAGAGCGTCAGAGGAAAAATCTCTTTTCTTTGGTTTAATCAAGAGTCTCCCAGACTTATTTGAGTAGGATGTTCTTTGTTATCAATATGCCTATTGAAATTACTTGAACCATGGTTTTGAAGCAAACTGAGGAACAATAACATAGTAATTGTGCAGTGCTATGGGC